CTTCGATACGTAAATTGATGCTTTGTGAAAAAAGTGGAGATTCAGGAAAATACTCATTCCGCTTGATTGCCTATGAGTTTATTGCTCGCCGAGTAGCGTTTGAATTCTGTTTGACTGCAATAATGCTACCCTCACTTGCAGGAGACAGGAATAGCGTTTATGCGTACACAACTGCTTGACTTTTACATAAGTCAACCAGGCCAGATATCTTCAATACTATCCGATGCCTTTCACCAGGCCCCTCATCTTCTAAACTTGCACTTTTAAGCAGGCGTTGACTTCTGTGAAATGGAATCTTATTCGTTTAGAAAACAAAGGAAAAGGAGATATGAAAAGGAATGATTGTCCTGGACTTCTCCTGTACTGGCCGTGTCAATATTCAAAAGTTGACGATAGCGAGTTAATCCGGCATTTTACTTGACCAGCAATTTCTGATAGCGACAGCGCCCGTTGCGCGATTATTACGCCCCACTTTCTTTCTTTAAAATATCGTGTTGACGGGTTAGCAAATAATAAAAAAGAAGGTCCGCGACCTTCAACTACCCCAATTTCTGCTTCGCTGGTGGCATTATTCCTTTAGCAGTCGGTTGCGAACCAGCAGACAAATGCGCGGCGCTTGATTCGATACATGATATAAAAAAAAGTCGCGTCTAGCCGAGCCTCAACATAATCTGTAGGCAACATGAACTTAAATATCAAGGAACGCTGATCCATAGCGAAGTCTGAGATTTTCATCGAAATTAAGCCACTCCTTTAAATTTATGGGGTGCCCGGTACATGTACAGAAATGTACGTAAATGTATGAGATCAAGGGCGCCCTACAATAACGACCCCTCGGGCCCACTCCCGGATGCAGCCGTTGGCCACACCCGTACACATTTTAGCCCATCCACAAATCGACCCAATTTGAAGAATATCCGGCTTGCGTCATAACCCTCCGAGACTTCGATTCTGGAGGAGCACGCGGTCAGCGTATCCAACACGAAATGGAGGGGGTGATGCTTTGAGCTTTCAGATGCAAAAGTCGCACTCAAGGAGGAGAGACATTGCCGTCTTCGAAAATGAAGACCAGATGAGACGGACACTCAGGCACTCACTGCCTGATCAGCGTTGTCCAGGGGTTACCGCCTGGACCCCTCGGGACGTCACTGGAACACCAGAGCAAGATGGTTCATGTTCCACTTGCTTTCAATCTTGCAATGATGAGTACCTTGTTAGTGTTTTTTGAAGCGGTTCAAAGATTGGCAAACTACATTAGGCCAACCTTTTGGTGCCTTCCTCAGAGCCTGAAGTGGTCAAAAAACAAATGAGGTTTGATTGGCCAATTGCCTCTATAACTCTGACAATAAACTTTCACTAAACTAAATAGTATACCACCCAAGGGTATTTATCCATAGCGGCTAGCATTGTGTGAATTGCCCTTTTTAGGCTGGGTGACCGTATAAAGTCAGCAACAATCTTCACTTCCAGAGCCGCGGTGGCGAGTACATAGAAGAGACTGGCTGTCCACTCCATCTGCAGATTTTAAAGATCTAGGGAGGTTTCGCAGATCGGAAATCCGAGCCTTGCTCAGGATCCATTGCATCGGTGGTACGACATTTGACGTAAACAGAGGTCATCCTTTCGCAGGAGTCTGAGATTGCTCGCTGGAAGTTGGAGGCGTTGGATTAGTGCGGAAGACTCTCATAGAATAGGCGAGGTGTACGTGGTTGTAACTTGTAAGCTCGCGCCTTTCTCGGTATTCGCACATTTTGGTTAAACGTGAAGTCAAGGGGTGGTGCTGGTAATGATTGGGTGCACGACAGGAAGTCCGTCGCTCGGCAAGAGGCAGGAACAGTGGACGATTCACAGCGCGTGCTGCAGAGATTTCGCGTCAAGTGAGATGGAGTGTACCATTGCACGTCCTATATCGCACATCATGCGCTGCTGCTCGTCCACTGTCCCTGCCGGACGTCCTGTCGGGTACCCGTAATCATTATTCCACGTCGGCAGGGGGTTTCGCGCCCGGCGGCATAGATCAAGGCGAACCACTAATGAAGTTTAGTGAAATGGCTTTGGTAAGTGTTTAAGCGTTTGGGCACGCAAGTTCCACTTGCGCTTTACCATTTAAGGCCTGGACGAAGGCGAAGGCTTCGGAACACTAATCTAATAAAGTTTACTAATCTTGAAAAAGCTTCAAGATACACAAACAAGAAAATCAGAGCGACAGCCGGGCGTCGGGCTACTTCATGGAAGTTTTACCTAAAGTGAGACTCGACGTGTCCCTCGAGAGGGCAAATTCGCTATAGCAGGCGCGAACCACGGTCTACTGGAAAACCTCCTATCATGGCAGGCCACAAAGAGTCAGTGCCATGACAAAAGTTTCCAATTCGTTTGAGACTTCGGGACTAAACGTAACATCACTGTGAGAATCCGCTTCAATAACTTATTATGAAATATATCTACACCAGATTAGTCCCCCGTCAACCGCCGGGACCTTCCTTTCCTGCGCAAGCTTTCTATCCTCCGCTATGGTCCCTTCCTCCTGTGACACCAACACCTCCTGGAAGTGACGCGTATGCAACACAATGGTGTTTCATACAGTAGAAGGGACACAATCATGATATGACGGTAGATTTTTCGCTTCCCTTCCTCATCCTCCCTTCCTCTCTCCACTGCCCTCCAGCTGCCACTGCAGCACCATGTGGAATGAACGGAAGTGTGCTAAGCAGGTGTTTATATAGCCCTAAGAGTGTTATCACAACTATCCTGCTACAAAACATTGATATCTCAAATCCTGTAAGCTACCCGATTTGTTAGCGGTTTGTTTATCCCATGAGCTTCCTTCTCACTCACTTCATTTTGCGGACGGACACACATACATACACACACACACACACACACACACACACACATACAGATACACAAACCGACACACAAAGTTAGCGCTTTATAAAATAGAAGGATATATAATAAAGTACCTTTTGTTGCAAACTTCGTTGTATTCCGCCTATCCTCTGAGGCTATGCAAAGCCCAGTATTATAACAATGAGCATGAGACAGCCTTTCTGCACCTTGGTAAGCAGGGTCAACCCTATGTTGCTACAAGTAGCAACGGGGGGTCGTATTTTGATGAGTTTGTAGAGGGGGGGTCGTACTTGCTTCGGTTGTAAGAAGTTGCATGTGATGAGTGGGGAGCGGCGCGGGAGAAAATTTGCCGTTTCAGCGCGCGTATATACCCCTAGAAAATGAAGCGTGGGATTAAAGGTGGGGATTGGCGGAAATTTAGGGAATTTTGGTAGATATTTACCGTTTCAGAGTGACTATATACCCCCCCCCCCCCCCCCGCTCGACGGCATTTTTGGAGGAAAAAGTGGGCGGGGTTTTGATGGAAGATGGAGATGGTGGAGGTAGGAAAAGGGGGTCGTATCAAATCCACCTTGGGGGAGGGGGGTCGTAAAAATTTTTCGAAAAGTAGCAACGATAGGACACCCCCTGCGTAGCTTCTCAGTCGCATTGGTATGGCACTAATATGTTTTGCCATCTCCAGCAATTTGCTGAATTTGAAATTTTGGGCCAAAAAAAAAACGAAAATTAGATTAGATTAGAACCGAGTTGGAGTTCACATAAAGGTCAACTAGTATAGTAGCGTTGTTCTCTATTTATCATGTACGCAGCTTAGCCTCTGTCTGCACATGGTAATTAACTTGAAATGAGAGCAGATGTTAAGCAAAACCCACACAAACCAACGAGTTTATTCAATCTTCAAACTGAAGTGGCTAGCTAGCATCAAGCTTGTACATTAGTGGAATGCATTGGTTTTACCTACCCCAGTCGTACCCTCTATTAATAACTCGCAACATAGCCGACTGAGTCATCCGTTCATCCCTACCTCGATTGCATTGTTCCGCTTAGGAATTCTACCGGAGACGCGCCCTAAAAACGATGGCGATGAAAAATCCTGGTTTTCAGGCTGTTTAAGTGTGCTTTCAGAGCATGCATATCGGCTAGGAATATTCCCTCAGGTCGATCCTGGTTGAGGATTCAGGGGTCGTAATTGTCTTTGTCGCAGGAATTGGGTCATATCCTGTATACTCGGGAACAGTGAGGATAGTGACCGGGATAAAATAATGTAGTCCTTGATTTCTGTCGTCCTGGCAGTTATGAGTAGCCCCTTTTCTACCTCTTCTCTCACCCATCCAACCAGCGACCAGGACCAAATGACCTCAAAGGCACAACCCAGGCAGAGGTCGTGTGAACGCTTCCCTTCGGTCTGTAGTATAGACCCCTAGAGGACAATCACAAATGTGGCGTTCCCGTGCACGGAAACCAACCGACAAGAGCGCTTGGGCCTTGCAAAGTAAGCTGCTGAAGCTGCAGATTTTTTCTCTTATCAGGCTGTTGTCTGGCGCTCTCTCATCTGTAGCGCTCTCTCGCCTCATACTCTCCTCTCCGCGCTTAGTCTCTCATTCCCTTAGCACAGCCGATTAGGAAGGTGAGTGAGCCCTCAACCTAAGCGTTTTCGACGGATTCTTTTCCTTTTTCTTTACTGCCGGCCCACTTCGCACCAAGCCACACAAATGTGATCCTGGGACTTCCCTTTAATCCACCAGAATCGTCAATGCCTTTTTAAAATGTGAGATTTCTAGACTTATTGCTGCTAAAGTGTCTGCGAGGCTCAGTTTAACCAGCAAGGGTTGCGACACAAGAAATTCAAGCCGACTTTCCCATCAAGTCGTTGTGTAGGCTTAATCGCATTCAAAATGCCGCTAGGATTTAGAATGGAGGTGGAGTGCGTGGAGTATACTAGAACGGGCTTACTCGAATCCAAATGCTTCTCAACATACCTCTTTGATTTTCAGATGGATGTAGACTATATATTCGTTATGAACGAAGTTATCGCTTCGATTTCACTTGTATTGAACTTTCTTCTATTGTTTGTTTATTTATATCGCCCACTAAAAATCAACACTTCCAAGTATTTCGTTCCAATTACTGCTATACAAAATATCGTCTACTCAATGACTGCATTGACTAGTGTACCGGTAAGTACCGCATTATATTTTGGAACATTGCGCGCAAATTCCTTGCATTTTCCTTTCAGAGAGCCATTGTGTGGAACTTTTGTTGGGTGATGGTCACGTCTGGAACGCTAAGGTCATGGTCATTGAATTTATTGATGGCAGAGCTGTTCCTCTTAATTTTTTGGCTTTCTATTTTAACAACTGCTAACAGCGTTCTACATAAATACCTCCAGATATGCAAGTAATTGTTGAATTTTCAGTCCTTCAAATCGTACCGTACTCTATTTATTTCTACAATTCGGCTTATAGCGCATATATGAAACTCATTTCACGTCAAGGGTTAACTTATTCGCGTTTAGATCTCAACCCCACCACCACTGATGGTGGTGCCAATATAGCGCGTTGCTAATTAGAACGTCACCCCAAATTCTGCATATCCAAGATAAGCAGCCAACCGGGGCTTTCGCCATTATCACCAACTGATTCCTCACCTCGAATAACCCCTGTATCGCAATTTTTGGCAGCAGCTTTTCTTCGAAGCTTTTTTATAATTATTTTTTGGTTTTTGCACCGTTTCATAATTATAAGGTCACCTGAGAAAAAGTTTAACACGTTGACGACAGGCTGACGCGCATGCGCGTCAGAATTTTGCACCGCATCGGACATTCTGACGCGCATGCGCGTCAGAACTATGTCATTCATTTTTATTGTGCTTGCGCTCCTTCTTCTCGAGTTTTTGTATTCATTCTATAGATAATATTAAGGTCGTATAATCTATGCTATAACTACATTTATGCTATAGGAATTTTAGGGAGAACTCCTGAAAATTCGCAACATATTGCCTGACGTAGCATCGACCTTTGCAATTTCAGCCAACGGTCCAGCTCGTTGTCTGCTTACTTATTATGGATATTACACCGATTTCGCGAGAGGGCTCTCGGTGCCCTTAATTTTTACGAGTACTGCTTGGAATGTTCCGCAAGTCATGCTAGACCAAGGATTGGCCAGAAGATAGGCGAGGGCAGCTCTCTCAAACCACAGTGCAACGGCGCTTCACTCTGCTCAGCGTTGACTTTTTTATTTGAAAATAACCCACACTCCAACCACCCTGTGACTGACAATCACGATGCTATATCTGACGCCGTTGAAAAGGGATCTGGATAGAGTATCGATCATTTGCTAGAGCGATTCCGATGCGACAAGGAGACAGCACTGTGGCATCTCCAAAGACTTGTGAAGATCCGAAAATGTAGAGTTTGGTCCCCACGTGCCTTGAGCCCGATTCAGCTCCAAACACGATCTGACACCGTTATGTTCAAGTCGACTTACTAGGGATTCTACGATTGACCATCCATCACATTTGCCGAAGATGAGGAGTGGTACAGTTTACTAACAAATGAAAGCGGCGGTAGTCCAGCTCAAACGCTTCGGGAGATCTTATTGCTTAAGTTCAACCTCGTCCAAGTAGGGCCTTCTCGGATTTTTGGTGGAACACGGGAGGAGTTAAGCTCTGGAAACCCCTCCGTGTAGATGTCGCAGTCAACGCGAAAGTCAACTATCCACAGCTCGAATGCAACGCTTTTAATACGAAAGAAAAACAAGGCAAAGTTTGCTTTTGTATGACACCGTTGAAAAACCTCTTGCTAAGAAAATTCAGGAAAATTTCGAGACTCTGGGACGGAGAGTTCTTCCGTATTCACGTTATAGCCCTGACCTCGAGGCAAATAATGCCCTTCTGCTCCCCTCTCCAAACCATCTCCTAGAGAAGAAAGCTCATCCTAACTATGATGATGTCAAAATCGACATCTGATCTTTCTTCGATCAGAATTCAGTAGAGTCCTACAAGGGAGGCATCGAGCAGCTACTAGTGTGTTGGCAATAGGTTGTAGATATTGATGGAGGGTAGCATGCCGGATGAATGGAACAAAAAGATAATGAAAATATTAAATTCAAAATTTGGCCAGTTTGTTGCCGAAGTTATTACGACCGACCTGATACATTAGCATAACTATAAACCACATGGCAGCCAGAGTGGTCAAATATCCCTTGATTTAGCAAAGATTTTCTGAACGCCAAAACTTTCATTTCAATTCTTTCCTAGTATTCCTTTCACTGTCGTAAACATTCATATGAAAGATTGTAGAAGCAGTTAATACAAAACTGTGAGTTTCAAGATATTTGTATTTGATGGAAGAACTTAGGTATAAATGCTTTTAACTTCATTCGCAGCGAAAGTGATGTTTTTTGCTTCTTCGTGGTCATTATGCGTTCTTCTAAACAAAAATCTACTGCTATTTATATAGTTAACCTTTATGCTTTCATCCTTGCCGAAATAATTTCTATGAGATTCAGTTGTGTGCATTTTAAACAAAAAATAGCGGAAGTAAGGGCGGAAGCGCCCCAAAAATCGATCCTGTACCACGCGCTGCAAAATTCCAAAATGCGCGATGTCGTCAACGTGTCAAAGGCACGTGCATAGTCAAATTGGGGTAATATTCTTTTCGAATAATAAGAAAGAAAGTAAGGAGGAAGTGGGGAAGAAAGAAAAGCACTATTAAATATACTAAAATTACGTGATGCTGGGGAAAAAGCCAAAAAAAACACATCGTAAGTGAGAGGGCGCATACGCCATGCGAATGACATGAATAGCACGGTCAAAGTGGAGACGCTACCTTCTTGCGCACTTTCAAGGCGACCGGCGACATGTTACCCTGAGGATCGTTAGACTACGACTTTTTTAGAATCGAGTTATAAATGTGTTCTGCGTTGCAATTATCCCTCCCAGCAACAGGCAACCAGCTGTAGAAATTTGGCTGATGTACGTTGGGTGTGACCTGGGATTTGATCTAGGGACCATGCGCGCGGTAGCGGCCCGTCTTGTCATTACACCATTTTCGCTTCGATGAGAATGATGTTGTTTAACACGTTGGCGACGATGTCGGTCAATGCTGACCGACAGGCAGTCTGTCACATGGGACGATGTCGGTCAATGGTGACCGACAGCTTGAAAGTAAGCAAACTTAGATGGAACCCGCGACTTTTCTATTTCAACGTTTACTTCAGTGTCTTACACTGCGAATTATGATCTTTCTAATTCCTGGGAGTTTTATTCTGAATTAGTTATCAGTGGCAGAAACGCGCTGTCAATTGAATCACAACCACAAAGTTCCCACCGTCAGCAAACTGGAAATCTCACTAAAATTGTTCATATCGACCTTTACTAATTAGGTCACCGTCAGTAGAATGTCCATTTCTAGCCTTAGGTTCCCATGATGGTCAAGTAGGCTCAGTCTTACTCATAGGCAGGACAAAAGTACCTATCCAGTCCATCAACTGCCAAATATTTCACAAAACAGTTTTTTGACCTTGAAATGACTCGTTTAAATCCTTATTCGATCATGAAGAACAAGATAACAGTCAAACAAAAGCTCATTCCGTCAGGTACGCAAAGTTTTTTGCGTCATTCTTGAGTGAAAAATTCGTAGAAGATTTCAGATGTGATCAGGATACCAGTACCATCTAAAGGAAAGCTCATATTAATAATAAAAATGAAGAATGCGTGAAATTGCGCCTTCAGAACCTATTCTAACCTGAGGTTTGAAAATGCCAGGCGATGTCACTGAAATTTCACCCAGCATTCAGTAGTAACAACTTTTCCTTGTTTCTAAACGTGTCTGGAGTACTCTAGTCAAAGGCATTTTGTGCATTTCGAGATTTTACAGAGCTACAAAATAGATTTTGCCCTGTGTTACCGGCGCTTTGCATGCAAAAAACGTCTCGTCCCATGCGCGCGACAAGGAAAAAATCGCTCGTCGTCAACGTGTTTAATAAATTGGCAATTAATGAGCTTACAACCACACATTTTTTTACAATATTAAAGTCTTCAATGACCCGAAAATTTTTACAAAAAAAAAACTTGAAAAGGTCAACATTATATGGTCTATGAATGGTACGGAGTAAAACATGATATACACAAGGGCACGTTGCAAGCAGCACACATTATTTTTGTACGAGTTTTCTTTGCACCGCGCAGATCTACCCCATCGCCAAACGCGTTTCAACTATAGTGGCATATAATCCCCAACGTTGATGATCCTCCTGAAATTTTTTGGTGGCCTCCCCATGCCGGGCTTGCGCCTGTTAGCCGTCCTTTCCCTCCCCTGCGCAATCATTTGCTGAGCAAGAGGAACAAGGAATTTGATCAGCTTCGTTTTCTCGTGATGGATTTCCTGATATATTATCCATGCGTTTACAACCGCCACCTTCTTCGTATAGAATACATTATAGGTCGGTCCTATAAGTCTTGCAACAAACTACATTTGATGCTATAGAATTTTAGGGAGAACTCCTGAAAATTCGCAACATATTGCCTGACGTAGCATCGACCTTTGCAATTTCAGCCAACGGTCCAGCTCGTTGTCTGCTTACTTATTATGGATATTACACCGATTTCGCGAGAGGGCTCTCGGTGCCCTTAATTTTTACGAGTACTGCTTGGAATGTTCCGCAAGTCATGCTAGACCAAGGATTGGCCAGAAGATAGGCGAGGGCAGCTCTCTCAAACCACAGTGCAACGGCGCTTCACTCTGCTCAGCGTTGACTTTTTTATTTGAAAATAACCCACACTCCAACCACCCTGTGACTGACAATCACGATGCTATATCTGACGCCGTTGAAAAGGGATCTGGATAGAGTATCGATCATTTGCTAGAGCGATTCCGATGCGACAAGGAGACAGCACTGTGGCATCTCCAAAGACTTGTGAAGATCCGAAAATGTAGAGTTTGGTCCCCACGTGCCTTGAGCCCGATTCAGCTCCAAACACGATCTGACACCGTTATGTTCAAGTCGACTTACTAGGGATTCTACGATTGACCATCCATCACATTTGCCGAAGATGAGGAGTGGTACAGTTTACTAACAAATGAAAGCGGCGGTAGTCCAGCTCAAACGCTTCGGGAGATCTTATTGCTTAAGTTCAACCTCGTCCAAGTAGGGCCTTCTCGGATTTTTGGTGGAACACGGGAGGAGTTAAGCTCTGGAAACCCCTCCGTGTAGATGTCGCAGTCAACGCGAAAGTCAACTATCCACAGCTCGAATGCAACGCTTTTAATACGAAAGAAAAACAAGGCAAAGTTTGCTTTTGTATGACACCGTTGAAAAACCTCTTGCTAAGAAAATTCAGGAAAATTTCGAGACTCTGGGACGGAGAGTTCTTCCGTATTCACGTTATAGCCCTGACCTCGAGGCAAATAATGCCCTTCTGCTCCCCTCTCCAAACCATCTCCTAGAGAAGAAAGCTCATCCTAACTATGATGATGTCAAAATCGACATCTGATCTTTCTTCGATCAGAATTCAGTAGAGTCCTACAAGGGAGGCATCGAGCAGCTACTAGTGTGTTGGCAATAGGTTGTAGATATTGATGGAGGGTAGCATGCCGGATGAATGGAACAAAAAGATAATGAAAATATTAAATTCAAAATTTGGCCAGTTTGTTGCCTAAATTATGACCGACCGACCTGACTACATTAACATAACTATAAACCACATGGCAGCCAGAGTGGTCAAATATCCCTTGATTTAGCAAAGATTTTCTGAACGCCAAAACTTTCATTCAATTTTTTCCTAGTATTCCTTTCACTGTCGTAAACATTCACATGAAAGATTGTAGAAGCAGTTAATACAAAACTGTGAGTTTCAAGATATTTGTATTTGATGGAACAAACTAAGGTATAAATGCTTTTAACTTCATACGCGCAAGTGATGTTTTTGCTTCTCGGTCATTAGCATTCTTCTAAACAAAATCTGCTGCCATTTATATAGTTAAGATTGTGCGTCATCCTTGCCAAACCATTATCCATAGATTAAAATGTGCGCTAGTTTAAACGAAAAATAGCCGAATTAAGGGCGGAAGCGCCCCAAAAATCGATCCTGTACCACGCGCTGCAAAATTCCAAAATGCGCGATGTCGTCAACGTGTCAAAGGCACGTGCATAGTCAAATTGGGGTAATATTCTTTTCGAATAATAAGAAAGAAAGTAAGGAGGAAGTGGGGAAGAAAGAAAAGCACTATTAAATATACTAAAATTACGTGATGCTGGGGAAAAAGCCAAAAAAAACACATCGTAAGTGAGAGGGCGCATACGCCATGCGAATGACATGAATAGCACGGTCAAAGTGGAGACGCTACCTTCTTGCGCACTTTCAAGGCGACCGGCGACATGTTACCCTGAGGATCGTTAGACTACGACTTTTTTAGAATCGAGTTATAAATGTGTTCTGCGTTGCAATTATCCCTCCCAGCAACAGGCAACCAGCTGTAGAAATTTGGCTGATGTACGTTGGGTGTGACCTGGGATTTGATCTAGGGACCATGCGCGCGGTAGCGGCCCGTCTTGTCATTACACCATTTTCGCTTCGATGAGAATGATGTTGTTTAACACGTTGGCGACGATGTCGGTCAATGCTGACCGACAGGCAGTCTGTCACATGGGACGATGTCGGTCAATGGTGACCGACAGCTTGAAAGTAAGCAAACTTAGATGGAACCCGCGACTTTTCTATTTCAACGTTTACTTCAGTGTCTTACACTGCGAATTATGATCTTTCTAATTCCTGGGAGTTTTATTCTGAATTAGTTATCAGTGGCAGAAACGCGCTGTCAATTGAATCACAACCACAAAGTTCCCACCGTCAGCAAACTGGAAATCTCACTAAAATTGTTCATATCGACCTTTACTAATTAGGTCACCGTCAGTAGAATGTCCATTTCTAGCCTTAGGTTCCCATGATGGTCAAGTAGGCTCAGTCTTACTCATAGGCAGGACAAAAGTACCTATCCAGTCCATCAACTGCCAAATATTTCACAAAACAGTTTTTTGACCTTGAAATGACTCGTTTAAATCCTTATTCGATCATGAAGAACAAGATAACAGTCAAACAAAAGCTCATTCCGTCAGGTACGCAAAGTTTTTTGCGTCATTCTTGAGTGAAAAATTCGTAGAAGATTTCAGATGTGATCAGGATACCAGTACCATCTAAAGGAAAGCTCATATTAATAATAAAAATGAAGAATGCGTGAAATTGCGCCTTCAGAACCTATTCTAACCTGAGGTTTGAAAATGCCAGGCGATGTCACTGAAATTTCACCCAGCATTCAGTAGTAACAACTTTTCCTTGTTTCTAAACGTGTCTGGAGTACTCTAGTCAAAGGCATTTTGTGCATTTCGAGATTTTACAGAGCTACAAAATAGATTTTGCCCTGTGTTACCGGCGCTTTGCATGCAAAAAACGTCTCGTCCCATGCGCGCGACAAGGAAAAAATCGCTCGTCGTCAACGTGTTTAATAAATTGGCAATTAATGAGCTTACAACCACACATTTTTTTACAATATTAAAGTCTTCAATGACCCGAAAATTTTTACAAAAAAAAAACTTGAAAAGGTCAACATTATATGGTCTATGAATGGTACGGAGTAAAACATGATATACACAAGGGCACGTTGCAAGCAGCACACATTATTTTTGTACGAGTTTTCTTTGCACCGCGCAGATCTACCCCATCGCCAAACGCGTTTCAACTATAGTGGCATATAATCCCCAACGTTGATGATCCTCCTGAAATTTTTTGGTGGCCTCCCCATGCCGGGCTTGCGCCTGTTAGCCGTCCTTTCCCTCCCCTGCGCAATCATTTGCTGAGCAAGAGGAACAAGGAATTTGATCAGCTTCGTTTTCTCGTGATGGATTTCCTGATATATTATCCATGCGTTTACAACCGCCACCTGTAGTATTTTATAGTACACCTTACCACCATTTTCTCTGGAACGTCTATTGAAGTCGTAAAGTGCACATTTCATAGTAAAATTAGAAAGCTTCTATATGTGCACAGTCAGTCACCCCATGTAAGCCAATGAGCCTCCTTGCCCTCAAATATTTCCCGGGACTGGCTTTGACTACAATAGTGACAAAGTGTTCCACCAGTACGCAAAAGGGTTAACTTCTGTCATTAGAAAACTGTGCAATCACAGGTCTCCAGCGGTTATCTACTCCTTAGTTCTGCATGCCTCTTCGAAGCTTCTTCACTCGCGTTCAAGCTCCTTTCTGCTTCGTGTCATATAGCTCAAGTTTTCTATCCTACTCACTAGCACATCTTTCCAATACAAAAACACCCAATGCCGAGTTCTTCTTTCGCGCTTCCGCCTACCATTGAGCGCTCTAAAAAGTGCTTGTGTGATATGTATATACTCGGTACTCACGAGAACCAGAGGCGCATCATGTAGGCTACACAAATGAGTTTGCTAACTAGTGGCTCACAGTGGAAGCTGATAGCTGGTGCATTAGTCGTAATTAGGCTCAACTGAATATGCAACCAGCTAATCACTCACATGGCAGAAAACAGTCACATTTTGTGTTAGGCCGTCGTCAGATGTGTTGTGTGATCTGCATCGACGTGATTCTGCTTCTCGGAAACAGAGTGTAAGTGCAATACGGTCAACCAGGAGCAAAACACGAAATGAATTGAACTTCAAAACTACACAAAACGCTTACTATTTGACGAACGCCGTTGCATGGCTGCACCTTTTGATTGCTCAGCCCTCTTCTTGCCATGGCCACGCGCCATTTAGTGGCGCATCGGTTTTCGCCCATGCTATCAACGCTGTCCATTCAGGGAGCCCCGGTTTTGCGCGCTTGTCCATTGTGTAAGCTCAGCACTATTTTGGTGTTGATCATCTACAGATCATTTCTTCTTCCATGCATGAATACAAAAACAGCAAGAATGAGAAGAACTTCTAATGAGAGATGTTTAAAATAATACCTTCGTGTTTTGATTTACAGGCCTGAATATTTCTTTGTTTATACGTCTATTCGAGGATTTTTACTGGTTTTGATGGCAAACGTTTTGATCTTGCTTAACTGGAGTGCTCTTCTATATTTTGTTATTTGGCCGACAACGAAAATTACCGAGCATTTGAAAGCGCCTATAATGGAAATGAGTGGACTTGATCTGACCACTTCAGCCTTCGTCGGTTTCTGTGTTAAGGTAAGTAAAGTGACTAACCCATTACCAAATAGCAAAGGCATCGATATGACACTCTTGATGACTGTCCAGCAAGAAAGGAATCGTAGTGAAGGAGTCGAGTTATGTCGAATAGGATGTGACTTTTTGCTGTAAACTTATTTCTCATCATCTCCTGATGGTACATCGCGAACTGGCCCGGCACCTGCATGCGCTTCCTATCTTGTATGTTTGACCATGTCATTATTTATCGCATAGAGTTTATTTTACGGGTGGGAGTAGGATGTGTAGCGGTGAACGGCGGTGAGTACCACGGTCACGGGTTGATTTCCGAGCCAAGCCCGCCTTGGCTTACCGAGCTTCCTATCCCACACAGAAAAACAATTGGTACACGACTGAGAGAATAGAAACGTCGACTTCTACACGGCGCTACGCATGCCCGCCTTGCTGTGGTAGCACCACTTTTCAGTCTCTGGGGACAGCTCCACTTTATAGCAAAAATGTCCATTTCTTCTACATCAAATTCACCTTCGTTTAAACTCATTAACTCTTACAAGTACAGTACAAGTGTTTTGTATTACAGTACATGTGTGTAGTACATGTGTTTTTAATATCGAAGTCCTGTTTCCCTTACAGCCACAACTCGAATGGAGTCATCTCACTATAGTTATTGATTCCATGGTAACGTTACCACTGATAGCAACATTGTGCCTATACTGGGCTATGGAAATCAACGAAACTCTAAAGAAGTCCTCCTTCAGCAGCCAGACAAAAGCTATGCAACAACGCATGAATAACCTTATGATGGTCCAGGTAGTATGTACATTTTGCACAGACACACATAAATTTTTTCGTGCCTTGAGAATCTCGAAGTGTGCGCACTGCTACATGTTGTTAGCTGTTGTTTTTCTCAGAATGTAAACAAATCTTTTTCATTTTTAATCATTCCTCGGATGGTTGAGGTTACTTTTTGACATTACAAGCTAAATCTGGAAGAAGCGATCATAAAAGCAAGAGATCGTCCTCAGAAATTGGTTTTTGGGGCGCGCCATGCACAGTCGTCTCCCATAATGCCCTGATAATCTATGTTCTCCCTTACGAGGCCATTTAAAGGTAACCCGCAGGATAAAGCAGTGCAAAAGAGCGCTTTGTAGTGATGGCTGAGCTGTGAAATGAAAATGAAAGTGGAAAGGATGGAAGCAAGAGAAATCATCGGGAACGCTGAAATTGAGGCCTTAACCTTCAGTAGGGTCGGATGTGGTACGATGGCGAGACAGGGCGATCAAAGAAGACAAAACACGCGAGAGAGCACGCTGATCTCTATATCGATCGCGGTGGGTGGGGATCAATGCGCGAGGATTAGCCTTCAATTGCCGAGAGTAAATTAAGCCGACATGATTTATGTAGGTGCGAGTTTGCGCCGATACGTAGTGCTGCCGGAGACTGCCCACCCGCGAGGGTGGCGCTGAATTAATCGCGAACACCAGCGTCAAATTCGCGCTACAGGTCGGCTCGTCATCTCGAGTCGAAACTATGGATCGAACCTTCATATCATCTAACAATGTTAGTACGTACCACAAAGGCTTCACCTGATCTTTCATGACAAATGTGCAAGCGCTACCGGTTCCAGGGCGAAACTGGCCAAAGGAGCTAGTCCAAAAGCACTCGCACTCGCAGAAGTTGGAGTCAACACATAGAGTCACATTGAACGTGGGCGCACTCAGATACAGAAGTCCTGCGACTGGCCATGTTGAAGCACAAGGTGAGGCCGCAGTTTGCATGTATCAAAAGAATATTGATAGGAGAGGGCCCAAACATTGCTGGATATATTGGGATATGGTCCAATCTCACTACTACGGCACATCCAAGGGTTAAGGAGGGGCCATTGGCTGTGCGGGACGTCACCCATTGCGCAGCACAATACGAGAAGTACAGCGCTCAGGAAGGCTCATCTCTGCTATCCTGGAGTGAAACTTGTCGTGTGCAAGTGTTTTCTGAAAATGCTCCACAATGTGGATGCGAAGACGAGGACGACGAACAAATCTGGTATGGTATACGCAATGAAGGCGGATGCACGATTTTGGATTTTGCTGAGACAAACGACCTTGTCATCACTAACGCGTTCTTCAAGAAACGTCTTTATCACCTATGCAGTGGAGACCGAAAAAGTAAATTGACTTTGTGCTGGTGAGGAAACGAGACATGCCAGTTGTAAGCAATGCAAAGGTTGCTCCATCTTGGTGTGTAGCACCTCAACACTGGCTGCTCGTAGTTGATATAAAACGCGACAAATTGGATTTGGATATGGGTCACGTAACACCGATGGGCGAGCCAACTTTTATGAATACACAACTCAAACCGATTCACCAATCATGAATACAGATATCCGCGGAAAACGTGATCCTGCTGTCATCACGCCTTCCACAGCGGTACTACTAGAAAGCAGATCGACTTTGTCCTTGTCAGCCAACCCGATCGAGGGCTTGTTACAGACCCGAAGATTGGGACATATGATGCGGTCGTAACGCAAAGTCGACCGCTGATTTGTACGCTGATGATCGATCCTCGAAATGAGACCAATGGACCGGCGAGAATCAAGCGGTGGCGACTGAAGGGGAATGAGGCAGTCGTGATATCCAGCATTAGGCTATCGGCAGTCACGACTGCTGATGAAACTTGGAGAGGTGCTGCCGAGGCGATGATCCTTTCTGCACGTTCCAAACTTGACATGGCAATACCTGTATGACGGAAGATTGGCAAGCAGCGCATTTATAGACGAACGACTATTCTAAAGAAAAAAGTTGCGCTACGCAAAAAAGGAAGGCACACCACAAATTTCTTGATGAAAAGAAGATGACATTTGGCGGAGTTAATCAGGCTATGCTAAGAATGCGCCAAGGAAGTTCCGTTGCTGCCACAAAAGCTGCCCATTTTGCTGAAGTCAGCGATGAACTCGAGACGCGTGATGGTGAACGGTATGTTTATTGTCTTGCCAAAGCGCGGGATCGCCCGATTACATCGAGAAGTGTTTGGCATCAATAACGGAAACGGTCACCTCCTAATGCACCGCAAGAAAGCAATGGAGCGATGGCACGCTCACTCTGAGAACATCACAGCAGTGGAATTTGCTATCCAGCAGTCCCTTATGTCCCGCCAGTGCACGGTTCTGTGCAAAAATAACCGTGGAGGGAACGTAAAGGGCTTTTGAAGATGAACTCAGTAAAAGCTAAAGGCTCCGATAACTTGGCAGGCGATATATGGAAGTCGAAGCGCTGGTGTCCTGCTGGCATGGTTGACCAAGTTCTTCAATTAGATCGTTGCAGAAAGGAAGATGCATGACAATTTCCGAATTGGAAGAAAGGCAGCCGTACTGACTGTACGAGCTACAGTCCAATCCGCCTGCTCTCGCACAGCATGAAGATCTTCGAGCGAATTGTGGATGGAGGTATTCGTGAAGATAGCGGTTGAGCGATTCCGCCACCAGTACGGCTTCTGTGTTAGGCTGCACCATTCCGATGCAATACATGGCCACGTCTACCATCTGGAAAGACACACGGAAAAAGAAAGCCGTCAATCTGCATCTGCTTTCAGCGACCAAGGAATAATGCTCGCGATCGGAGAGTTTGATGTATGAGAGTGGCCCGAAGCCATGCGTTCGCGACACAATTCAGGACCGAGACCATCAGAGAGCGATTTGGTGTGAAACCACCGCTGTTGAAGATGCACGAAGCTCTCCTTAAATGGTACGGTCACGTCGTTCGCGCTAATAAAGACAGTGTCGGCTAAGATCTGACTGGACTTTAATGTGCGTTGGTTGTACTATATTGTTGCCAATTGTGTTTTCCCTCTCACAGAATTGCCCCATCCTATGACTCCGACATTCTTAGGTACTTCTGTCACAGCTGCAGCCTAAGCTGTGCTAGGAGCTACAACGGGCCAACGGCGCATAGACAAGCAAGCATTACGCTGGACGGAAGAGCAAAGCAAAGAGTAGTAGAAAAGAAGACCGCATATAGGCGTGGTACGCTCGAAAAAGTGCTAAGAATTGAGCAAGTCACTACTGCGACCAAAGGGAAGCTAAGAAATCTAGTCACTGCGACAAAAAGCTGAACACATCCGATCTATACCAGTGACTGGTACCGAGTGAGGGTCGAGAAAATCATCACGTTCGTGCGCGAAGAGTTTCTGCGCAAGACACTGAGACCATAATATGTGCGTGAAGGACGAAAATGGACGGCGGTTCACAGTAAGCAAAAGATTCTTGACACCATGGCAATCGGCAGCATGAAAATCGGAAAGCGCTGGGAGCAGACGACATCCAGCACAATCCTGGAAAATGAAAGAAAGCGACAAATTGAAATTCCATGGCTTGCGCCGTTTTTCGTGCAGTGGTCAACTCTGGCCGCGCTTCAAATGATTTGTACTACGATCATCACCATAATATTCTCCAGAAACAAAGGCGACCCCGCAGAATGCTCGAATTACAGCCCGATTCGCTTGTTGTTGAATACCATGAAGATTTTCGAGCGGATCCTCGATCATCGGGCTTCGCAACCTTGAGCTAAGCACCACTCAGTGCGGATTCCGAGAGTTCCAGAGCAACCGATGCAATCATTGCTTCCCAGACACTTCTGGAGAAATATCGGGAGAAACAAAGCCGCTTTATCTAGCCTTCCTAGACTTGGAAAAAGCGTACAACCGCTTTTCACATCAATTAATCTGCTATGCGCTTCGTGAACAAAGAGTGCTAGAAGTTCCCATCGAATGGATCGAAAGCTGGAGGTGGGCACCACTAGTGAACTGAAATGCGCAGCTGGTCTCTCCTCTGCTCTACACCGTTTCATTTTATTCATAGTCAGCGTACTACATGACTCTACAATTTCGAAATGAAAAAAAGCAGTCTTGTTGATGTCGACGACTTCCCCCTGGCAGCCACTACTAGGAGTGACTACAGGATCGGATTAAGATCGGTGCGATCGTTTTAGCCAGTACGGACTTCCGCCTCAATATAAAAAAAAACGAATACCTGGGAACTCATCAAAATGCGGGCACTATCCGAGTCGATGGCTGAAACTTATCAAAACCATATGCTTCAGGTATCTTGTGTCCCGCTTCAATGGAGGTCCTGACGACCTCATGAAGAGGATGAGAATAATCACTCCATGGTACGATGAGAACTATAGCTATGCAATATGCTATGCCCCAACAAAAACGCATGCTAAATTCGCTCAATCAAAGCTTACATCAGAACCATGGTCCGTTCTACCGCATTATATGGATCTGAGTGTTGGCCGATCACAAAAGGCGCTGAGCGTCGCGCAACGGAGATGCGAATGTTTCGGTGGTCGCTGGGCATCTCAACACTGGAACGTTTGCAACGAAGTGATTCGACGGCACATGGGTGTTCCGCCTATCACACAGAAAACGCGAGAGAGACAACTGCAGTTGTACGGCCGCGTCATGCGAGCTGCAGCGAATCACGACTGTCGCTGGCACCCTATATCGCTTTGATGTCGACTGCAAACAACCTTGTGTGAGACCAAAGCAGCGATGGCTGGACACTACCAAGGAGAACATGAAAATCGCACAGTTGAGTCGCGAAGATGCCCTGAATAACTGAGGTAGTGGCAAAAAAACAAACATAGGTCGTAAAGTAATATTAAAATTAGCATATGTAGAGGTTCCAACAATTTTATGCTTGTTAAACTACGTTTACTATCAGTAATTTCTAGAGAATAGAATTATTTTGCCACCCAAACTTTCGCCGTAGTTATCGCTCGCTCTTGAATATCATTTGTTTACAGACTGTCTTCCCGGCTCTCTTGCTTCATGCACCGGCATTTGGACAATATGTTATAGTGTACTTGGGCAGCACATCTAACGCCGCTATTACCTACTTCAGTCAAACGCTGTGGACCGCATTTCCAGTGTTCAGTGCATTGATAACTATTGCATTTATCAAGGAATACCGTACATTTTTCATAAGGATTCATGTTAAGAAACCTTTGAAAGTTTCTACGATAGACTTATTGACACGATCTATTAACTTAAACCAG